TGCACAAGCGTGATAACTAGGAAGACGGAGAGGAAGTCGAAGCGAAACATACCACTTAAACGGAAGGAGTGCTGGACTCCGCACGCGCAGCGACCGTATCATCCCAATGACGTAGAGCTAATCGTTAACAGACTTTTCCAGCCTCCCAGATGTCATTCCGCGGGTGCTGTCGCCATCGTAGCATAGGAGGGAGATGCTCGTCACAAAACATGCCGACGAAAAAAGGCGACATGATGAAGCTTATTGATGATTAACTTCGCAAGGTTGTGCGACGAGAGCCTTTCTTGACTTAACTCTTCTCTTGCATATAGCCCAGTAATACTGGCTGGTTACGACCTGCAACCATAACAGATCAATAACTTGCGCAATGCAAGAAACCACAGTGAACTTCATTACCTGTCATTACCTTTGCTTGTACGGTCTACTGAAGGAAAGTCGCCATCTCCAATAATCAACTGAAATTCAACTGGGCATGAAAACTGTGATGGTTGTGACAAAAGAGCAGGGAGAAAGGTAAGTTGGGAGAATGTGAGTGGCTCTCCAGCCGAAGCCAACCCAAACAGCGGGGCGAGTGCGGAAACTGGCGCAGGTGAGGTTGGGTTGGAGCGGAGCGATACACTTTCGCTGACGTGTCGAAACCCTCGATGCTGTAGTGTTACGGAATCCAACTTGCATTTTTCCTTATGCCATACAGTACAGTAAATGTTTGTGCTATCATTTCCGAACTCCCATTTCTCAACTGATGGCCCAGCCTGCGGCCAATCTGTCTCAGGGTTTCACGGGGATTTTTTTTTTTTTTTTTTACTTATTGTCGGTCAGATTTTTAAGGGTTTTGTCATCTTTTTCAGTTTTAAATGAAAGAAAAACGGAAAACGCAGCCTCAAGAACACCCCAGTAGAACAGCACATAAGGAACCCCAAAAGACACCCCAACGAGATACCCCCAACGAGACACCCCAACGAGACACCCCAACGAGACACCCCAACAATACGCCCCATCTAACCAAACCCCCCACCCCCCTCACCTAAACCCACCCTCTAAACCCGCATGTCCACCAAATAGGGCGCATCCGCCTACGGAGCATCCCATCCCATCTCCTCCTCAAAATCCTCCCGCTCCACCGAAACAGCCTCTGGGCCTCTCATCATCGACGCCGCGCGCAACAAGATCACACGCGCCTGAGCCCGCTGCAAAGCCACACCTATGGCCGCTTTAAGTGATCCAAGCAAGTAAGCCGAGAAACCTTTCCCCGTAGCTCTCGCCGCCCCTTTCGTCTTCGCTACCTCAATCTGCGCGTCGCCCTGTTTCTTAAGCCACCGCCCAAAACTCCCCCCCAGGCAACCCCATGTCTCAGCAATGAGAGGTGTAAACTGCACTCCCCTATGTCGCTGCAGAAGCAATTTGTAGTCCGCCGCCTTCCGCTTTTCCCTCTCTCTAGCGGCAAAACCCACCTTGCGACCAATCTGTCCATGGTGCTGCGCGGACAACGAGATAGGGTCCACCACACTAACCTCCAGCGCATGCTCCTCCCCCTCCCTCAGTCTCCGCACCGCCACATCCACCCTCTTCCCTGGCAGCAACGTGTCGTCTTCCATGGTCACGACCCCACCCGCCCCTTTAGCTATCTTCGCCACCACAAACTTAACCGCGTCGTGAACACGAGAAGGTGCGTACTGGTACTTGCAGCGAAGGGCATGATGCGGGTCAGAGGGATCAGCAAACTCAAACCCACACGCGCACTTGCCGGCGACTATCAGCTGCTGTATGGGGAGGCCTAGGCGCATGGACGCACAGATGCTCCACTCGGCTGCGGTGAAGGTAGCCTCTTCGTGCGAAGGGACGGCGGAGACCCACGCCCCTGCCCCCGGGCCCTGAAGGGATGTCAAACGGGCCATGGTGGCGTCGTCGTGGGCCATACCCCGAAGAGTCTGCAGACTCTCAACCGCTAGGCGACGGTGTTGTGTGGGGAAAAGCAGCACAGGGGGGTCAGCGGTGCATAAGGCTAGGGGTGGCATCTCCTGCCTGACCAACTGTGGCAGCAGCTCCACTGCTCTCGCAAACCAAGGATCCAGCAAGGTCGTAGCCTCGGGCGTGCGGAAAAACTCCTCAAACATCCGTTCCTCCCCTGCCACCCCCATCCGAGCCACATCGCTCACTGCCTGGCACCAACCACATGCGTACGACAGAGGGCTAAGGTCAGCTGCAGATCGAATGCCAAACCCTCCAAGTCTGGCTGGAAGGTGCAGCTGTAGACGGGCCATCTGCGACCTTGCCGAAACATGATCCCAGGTGCTATCTGGAAACAGCTGCTCAAAACAATCCTCAAGCTTCGTGTCCCAGTCGCGGAAAGCCTCCACAACCTCAGGCCGTGGAGGCATCGTCCTTGTGAGGTAAATCGGGCGCGCTGACACTGCGATCGCCAGCAGATGGGACACAATCTGTGGGTGGTCGAGCAAAGGAAGCCAAGGGACAGGTGCATGCAGCTGCATCAGTCGGCCTCGCAAGCTGGCCACCTCCCACTCCTCCTCCCCAATAGGAACCCCCACTACGGTGAGCCCCGTCCATGTTTGCTGCATGCCGGGCGGGACGGTCTCGTTCCTCTCCTCTCCCTCCTGGTCCACCCCTCGCTCCCAAAGCTTGCACTTATGCGGCTGCACCTCCAGACCAAGCCCGCCCAGTCGTTCCCGCAAGACCTCATAAGCTGCTAGCACCCGCTCCCTAGGCCCCAAGATGTACGTATCATCGGCGTAGCTGAGAAAGAGTAGGTCGGCGAATTCTTGTTTGGTGGGCTCCATAACCAGCTGCTGTGTGAACGCGAACAGAAACGGCCCCAATGGGTCCCCTTGCCTCGATCCTCGCTCTGAAGCCAAAGCTTCGACGAAGGGGCCCGCACGGAGGTAGAGGTCGCTAGGAGTGCCGTAGAAGACACGCAGGAATGGGATCAAACCCGCAAAAGGCGACTGTCGAAGTCCTTCAAACATTTCCCGCCGATGGAAGGAGTTGAAAGCATTCGCCACATCAATTTGAAGCGCGCACCATGACGGGTGAGTAGAGATGGCAGAACGAAAGGCATGTGCGAGGACTTCCACTCCCGACCTGGATCCGACTCCTAGCTGGTTACACGGCGCAAAGTGCGACATCATCTTCGGCCGAAGCACGATGCATAGGGCCCGAGATAGTATGCGGGGGAGCACCTCGCCTATAGCCACCGGGCGAACGTCACCATTCGGCTTCGACAGGCCCACAAGGTTGGACGCAGTGAGCCAGGGTCGCACGCGCTCCGCTACTTCTCCCTTGGTCCACTGGGTGAAGACTCCTAGCAGGTGAGGCAGGTATGCGGGCTCAGAGAGAAAAGTGTCGCGCAGGTGCTCCGTCACCCACCCCGACGGTCCTGGTGCCGACGCCCTAGCCGCAGAGTGGATCGCCTGACCAAGTACCTCCACTGAGAGCTGCGGGATAAGGGAAGGCTCAACTATCTCCTCCTGCAACCACTCCAGAATGGCGGTCTCGCTCGATGGGTGTTTCGTTCGCAGCGCGTCCACCATGTGCTGAGAGGGTTGAGCGATGCTACCGGCAGTAAGACACGCCAAACCCCGACTCCATTCTGCCACTTTGCACCTTGTGCGGCAGCGAGCCAGGCGCACCGCATCAGGATCATGCTCGGGGGGGGTGAAGGACAAAGGACGCGCCGCAGGTTGCATTACCGCCACCGCCAACTCAAACAGCTCCCGCCACTCCCCGACCCAAAACTTCTCCAACCGCTCCCTGATTGCCGCCCTATGCCCCTGGCCTTGCCCAGTTGGCATCCCCAAGATAAGACGAGGGAAGGCCAAAAAGACCAAGGACGCCGCCTCGTCTGCTGCCTTTAACTGTAGCCGCTTCAGGACACAAGACAGTGCATCAAGCACCCCCAATCTAGCGCGCTGTGGGATACGACGCATGATTCTCCCTGGCACCAATTCGATCCCAAAAAACGACTCCCAGTCCCATGTAGGAACTGCGGCCCATACCTCTTCACTGATATCACGTGGTGGCGGGGGTTCGCCGTCCGAGTCATCTGTGACGTCGCGGGTCAACCCAAGCGCCTGAGCACGACGCTGGGCGTCCGCTGCCCTGCAGGCCGACATATGGCGTGTGGCCTTTCCTCTCTCCGTGAACGTGCGATAACAGGTTTCGCACGGAATGCGGGGCGGGGGTGTCAATGTAGGGTCTGGGTGCTCCTCTCCACTCGAAACGGACGCAAGTTCTGATGACAGGTGTCCACCATTCTGCCAGGGTTCCTGCCTAGCATGCGTCTATTTTGAAGCAAAGTGTACACGAGTAAGCCGCGGGTATCTAGCCATAAATTATTTGCAGGTCTATTTCGCCACTGCCACATTGCTGCCATTTTCCCTTGTCGAAAAAGCAAGTCCGCTGCAGAGCGTAAACCCGCTTGCTCGCCGATTCTAGTTAACAAACTCATCTGCTGGTCCGTGTTAACGCGAAACGTGCCTGCATCTCGAGACATGGACGGTAGCGGAAAAGGCCCTTCTTCCGCGCCTGACGGTGGCGGTTCCTGGCCCGGCGGACCGAATCGGCCACGCGACGGCCCTTACGGCGGCGCCGGCGGTGGCGGCGGAGAAAGCGGGCTTGGCGCAGGCAGAGACATGGGCGGACCTGGCGCCGGCATGGGGCCGGGGGGAGCGGGAGGGATGGGGATGATGGGCATGGGACCCATGGGCGGAATGGGGAGTATGGGGGGAACGGGCGGATCGGGCGGAATGGGAGGTGCGGGGGGGATGGGGGGTGCGGGATATGGGTTCGATCCGATGTACCCGCAAGGGTACGGCGGACTCAGCGGCGGCGGCGGCGGCGGAGGAGGCGGAGATTCGTCGCGGAAGTGGGGGAAAGGGGAGGGATCGGCGGACGGTGGCGCGCAGGTGGGATCCGGACCTGGCATGGGAGGCATGGCCGGGCCTGGAGGTATGGGAGGGTCGGGGCCTGGTATGGGCCCTGGAGGTATGGGTGCTGGAGGCATGGGCTCAGGCATGGGTTTTGGCATGGATGGGGGCGCGCGGGGAGGGGGAGGCGGAGGGGGGTGGGGAATGGGCGGCATGGGGGGAATGTCAGGCATGGGGAACATGGGCATGGGCGGGAACATGGGCGGAGGCATGGGGATGGGAATGGGCGGAGCGGGCGGAATGGGGATGAACATGGGATATGGCCCCGGTCCAGGGGGAATGGACGGGCCTGGCGGATGGGCAGGCGGAGGCGGAGGAAGAGGGGGAATGCCAGGCGGCATGGGGGGAGGGGGAGCGGGAGGCGGAGGGGGAGGTGGGGGCGGCATAGGGGCCGGTGCAGGGGCAGGCGCAGGGGCAGGTTCGGGGGGGGGCGGAGGAGGCGCTGGGATGGGCGGAGGCGGGCCAGAAACGGGTGGTATACCACCAAGAGCGTCCCAGTCAGGCCCAGCGAACGGCCCTGGTCGGGGGGGCATATTCTACCGCACGAAAATGTGTGTCAAGTTCCGCAACGGCGTGTGTCCGTACGTGAGCAACTGCAACTTCGCCCACACGCAGGAGGAGCTGCGAAGGCCCGTGCCCAGCTGGGGAGGGGATGATATGGCGGGGCGCAAGGGCGCGGGGGATGGCAGGGGGCCGGCACGAGGAGGTGACGGAGGAGGGGGAGGAGGGGGTGGTGGAACTAGTGGTGCGGATGGGAGTGCGGATGGGGTGAGAAGAGATGGCCGACCACCAGAGGTGAGTGCTGTGTAAGTTTATATCCTACTGTTTCTGTTTAGCACATACAGATTCCCAGGCGCGACACTGATGCTTTGGCTGACTCTTTATTTCTTCCCTTCCCGTTGTCTTGTCGGCCATTACCAGCAGCAGCAGCAGCAGCAGCAGCAGGCACCACAAGCATCCGAGGCACAAGGGCCCGCCAGCAAGGCAACGCCTGGTGCTGCTGGCGAAGGTGCTGGTGGGGCTGGTGGCATTGCCAAGGGAGGGGCGCCAGGGGAAGGAGCAGGGGGAGGAACCGGGCCTGCAGGGGCGGACGCTCCTTCTGCATCAGCTGCTCCTGCTGACGGTGCTGGTGGCAGTGCTGGTGGAGGGGGGGGAGTGGGTGGAGGAGGGGGAGGCGGAGGAGGGAGTGTGGGCATGGGGGCGACGGGCAAGCCACCGAATTGGCGCACGCGCATGTGCCACCGGTGGGAGATGACTGGCAACTGCCCCTTCGGTGACAAGTGCCACTTCGCCCACGGGGTTCATGGTACGTGCTGCTGCTGCTGCTGCTGCTGCTGCTGCTGCTGCTGCTGCCTTGCTGCATCTCTCAAGTATGCCAATAGAGTCACGAGTACAGTGGCACGGGTGGTGGCTGGTTCCAGATTGTGCAGTTTTGACTCAGGTCCTCTTTACATCATTCATAAGCCCTTCCTTGCTACACCAACCCCCACCCTCTATCCTCCTCTTCCCCACTCTACTCTCCCTCCCATCATCCTCTTTACTTGGACCTGTTTGGAATATTTGTCCCTGTCTCTCTCTTATGCCTCCCTCCTGCATCTCTTTCCCCAACCTGCGCCTTCCCTCATGAGCAGAGCTGCAGAGGTACGGGGGCGGCCCCATAGACCCATCCATGCTGCCGCCGCCCTATGCCGACCAGTTCCACCGCATGGGACCCGGCATGCCCCCCATGGGCGCCATGGGGGGGGCAATGGGCGCAATGGGGGGAGGCCTTGGGGGAAACGTTCCCCCTGACTTCCCCCCCTATGGGCCCGGCGGTGGACCTGGTGGTGGTGGGCCTGGTTTCCCCGGTGCTGCAGGGATGGGTGCGGGTGGGATGGGAGCGGGGCCTTTTCTCCGGCCTCCCCCTATGGGGTTTGGTCCTGGGGGTGGGGCGATGGGGAGAGGAGGGCCCATGCCTGGCCAAGGTATGGGCTCGTTTGCTGATGGCAGGCATGGGATGGGTGGCGGTTTGGGTGGTGGTAGAGGGAGGGGGAGAGCGGAGGGTGGGAGAGGGTTGAGTGGTGGGGGGAGGATGGAGAAGGATGGGGTGAATTTGTTGTATGGGGACTGGGTTGAAGAGGATGAGTGGGCAGGGAAGGAAGGGGATGAGGAAGAGGGAGCAGAGGGAGAATTTGATGGTGGGAGGCTGTTGGAAGATGGGTGTGATGAGTTGTTTGCATGGGTGTGGCAAAAGGAAATGGAGCATAGCATTGAGAAGGAGAGTGGCTCCGACATCGACTTTGAAAGCCTTTTGCCGGCGGGAGGACGATCACAATTTGTATCGATGGCTAGAAGGAAAGCCAAAGCCACTAAGGCAGGTCATAATAGAGTTGTTCCTTATATGCTGAAGTCTCCATGTACATTTTAAAGAGACTTGTACATTTTTTTGCTAAGTTGCATTCCATGTATCTCTATCCTTGCTTTTGGTGCACGAGTTCCAGACCAGGCCTGTCGAAGTTCCTGGGGCCTATACTTGCGCTCCCCAGCTCCTCCCCATCTGACCCTGTTTTGGGTGTAGCTGAGCGTTTGGGCGCCCTTAACGGTCACGGGCACACCCCAAAGTGAAAACTTGAAATCCGGGCCTGTGAAGAGTTTGCACTTAGACGCTAAGGGAAAATTCGGGTGCTCCAAAGCTGACTTAGACACTTTACAAACACGGGATCGGCTAGAAAACGCAAAAAATCCACTCCTCTCGTGCAACCTAAGGAGAAAGGGGGGGGGGGGCACTTAGACGCTAAGGGAAAATTCGGGTGCTCCAAGCTGACTTAGACACTTTACAAACACGGGATTGGCTAGAAAACGCTAAGGGAAAAATCCACCCCTCTCGTGCAACCTTAGGGTACATTCCGCTGTGGACACTGTCCCAATCGATGTGTCCCAATCGAGTGTACCGCTCCGAACCGAACTAAACCAGAGACGCGAAAATTTCGAAACTAAGGTGCAATTTGGTGTAATACGATGCAGTGCGGTAGAAACGATTGAGACACTTTCGATTGGGACATGTCCAGCGCGGAATGCACCCTTAGGAGAAAGGGGGGGGGGGGAGTCAGTCAGAATTGGGGGGGGGGGGGGGGTCCTACAACCGGAAACCCTAACTTTGAGACAGGGGAAGGCCTGGTTTGGGCCCTTAACGCATCCGGGAAAGGGTCGAACGAGGCACTTAGTGGCACGGGTGCAGTGCGAATCTAACACTTTATGCAGTCGAGCTGGAGCGAAAGTAGCCCGGAATGTTCAGGGCATTAAGGGCATATGCCCTTGAATCGACAGGCCTGTTCCAGACCGCCTCCAAACCTGGCTATTGGCTGCTTGTTCTGGTTCGGTTCCTCACCAAGCCTCCGCTAGTTTCCCACCTCGAGGCCTTGTTGCTGTTAGGTGCGGTAACACAGGTTTTCCATCCTTAGCCTTGTCGAAAGCCATGATACGCCGGCTCGGATGTCATAACCTGGCGGTTTGGTCTGGAAACTTTTACCGATGTCTGTCTGCCTCTGCCATATCTCCCGAGGACCTGAATGCTGGGAAAGTCCCACACAAATCACAAGCAGCTCACCCCACCTCAGCCCATCCCATACCACCTCACTCCACCCTTTCTCATCCCAAACGAATTTGGCCTATTCTCCAAATTGAGTCCCAATAAGCAGCAGCACCGGTCCCACCACCACCACAACCCTGCCCGCCTTATCCAGCTGGACTCGACATCCCTGATTCCCTGAACCACCACCCGTTCCGTTACCCGTAGCAGGTTCTCCTCAACTATGCCAGTCATAGGTTTTATTTAGGTTGAAACGAAGCCAGTCAACAGCACTCTCACTCTTCCCCCAACCACCACGCCCTGCTCTCACTTCTTTGAACAAAGTGACGAGACTGCGCCTTGCCTGCGCGCGGACTATAGGTCACCTGCCCAGAGTCTCTAAAAGAAGTAACGCCTACGCTATTACGTAAATTGAGAGCGGTCTACTGTGGCTCCGACTGCTTCTGCGTGTTTTCGTTTTTCTCTGCGTCCAGACTCGTCAGGTTCATCCGCAGCGTCATTTCTGTTTTTTTAGTCCCCTAATTTTACGACTTGCAAAGCATGGATGTCGACGCGGATGGCGAGCCGCCAAGAATAGCTCCCGCGTATACTCCCTGTGCGTTTAATGGCGAGTCGCCGGGCCCTAGATGCGGTCATACGCTTACATCCGTTGCTGCCGTAGGCGAGCCTGGGAGCGCCAACTACGTGGGACCGAGACTGATTCTCTTCGGTGGAGCCACGGCTCTCGAAGGCGGTGCTGGCGCCACTGCAGGCGGCGCTGCAGGCATTCGTAAGCCTCGGCACCTAGCAACCTCGATGCATCGCTTTCTTAGTCATGTCAGGTCATCTGATGTCGTGTCATTTCGTCATACCTGGCATTGCCATTACGGCATTCCGTTCTCTCGCTATCGTTGTCGAGCACCCACTATCTTCCTCTAATGCATTTAAAACTCTTAATTTGTACGCCTCTCAGGTTGTTTAAAGGTCACATATTTTTAACCACCACTTTCCAAGCTCACCTTTTTACGCTCGCATTGTCATCGCGCACAGGTCTGGCGGGGGCAACTGCGGACGTTCACTGCTTCGACGTAAAATCCAGAACATGGAGCAAGTACGTGAATGTCTGGTCTGGTTTCTTACAGTGCTGGAAAATAATCATATACGTCAAGATTTTAGTCTCGCTTACTAAGAGCTTATCACCACTCTAAAGGTATTTTCTTTTACTGGAAGATAGGCGTTGTCGTGAGGTCAGTCGGTAGTGGTATTACGATTTAAATTCCCATGGCGGACTTCCAATCGTCGCCGTCAGTAATGTGCAGCACGTGCATTGCGTTACGCGCCTCATGCAGAAGCATTCCCGTGTCGTCTCGCCTTTCAGAATGTCGCCAGTCGGCGAGCCTCCGTCGCCTCGAGCAGCTCACGCGGCGACGGCAGTGGGGACCATGATCGTCATTCAGGTGCGTTTTCATCAGTGCTCGACATTACCGCGCGAACCATCGGTTGTTCCTGATCTCGCGTCCGTTTACCATCATTTCTAACGCGGGCTTTCGCGCGAAAGGCTATCGAATTGTGTTCAGGAGTGGAAGCTTTTCGTTTTCGTCGTCCAGTCCGTTTCTTTAAATTTCGCGGAACGCGTGTTGGCAGGGTGGCATTGGGCCCGCGGGCCTGGCAACGGACGACCTGCACGTCCTCGACCTCACACAAGCGCGCCCCAAATGGCACAGGTAACGGCGATGGTGGTCTCTTCTTCTCGCTTCAACCCAGCCACTCTGTCCATCTCCCATCCGCTCTGCATTTCGTAGGCGTTGTCCATTTCCTTTTCCAGTCTCTGTCTCCCGGGCCTTAGTTCTTGTACTAGTATGAACAGTCTCTCAACCTCTTACTTCCTAAACCGTCCCTGATCCCCTCCGCGCTCATCCCTCTCCCCTGCTATGTCCCCGCTTCCCCGCGGTCTTCTCCCATCAGAGTGGTGGTGCAGGGCGCGGGGCCAGGGCCGCGCTACGGCCACGTGATGGCGCTCGTGGGGCAGCGCTTCCTGCTCTCCATCAGCGGCAACGACGGTGAGCGCCACCGGGAGTGAGCGAGCGAGCGATCTGTATTTCATTTCATCCTACCCGTTTGACTTCCTAGAACCCTTCTCTTCTCCAAACCCGCGCACCGTTTTGCACCCCCCTGGTTGCATTCTCAGCTACACCGTTCTTAACCCAGCTCGTGCATTCAAGCCCAGCCCAGTACAAGCCATTTCCCCCCTTCACCCCCCGCCCCACCCTTTCCCCTTTCCCTCCCCCTCTCCCTCTCCCGCCCCAACCGGGCAGGCAAGCGGCCGTTGGCGGACGTGTGGACGCTGGACACGGCGGCGAAGCCGTACGAGTGGAAGAAGCTGGAGCCCGACGGCGAGGGGCCGCCGCCCTGCATGTACGCCACCGCCAGCTCAAGGCACGACGGGCTGCTGCTGCTCTGCGGCGGGCGAGACGGCAGCAGCGTGGTGAGCCTCTCCTCGTGCTGCACCACCTGCAATGTTGTCTCATGTCGTGCCGTGCCATGCCATGCCCTGCACTGCGATGCAACCTGTGCTCTTCCCTTTTAGTCCAATTCCCCTGTGCAGGTGCTTGTTTTGATTCGTTCAGCAGGTACTGACCTTGTCCATAAATTCCCGTTTTTCCTCTTCCCTCGTTATCCCCCCCCGCCTCCCCACAGCCCCTGCCAGGCGCGTATGGGTTGGCGCGGCACCGAGATGGGCGGTGGGAGTGGGCCATCGCCCCCGGCGTGTCTCCCTCCGCACGCTACCAGCACGCCGCTGTAAGCCCCTCCCATCACATCACACATGCGCCTGTCCGTCCAGAGTTCAGTTTGTGGTCGAGTACCACCACCAGTTGTATGGTTGTCGTGGTTCTGTCTTGATAACCAGCATGCACCAGTAAGACACTTATGCGCCTTACTCTCCCTCTCTTTTCCCCTGTCCCCCCTCCCCCTCCAACACCCCACCCCCACCCCCCTCCTCCCTAACCCCTCCACCCCTGTGCGAGCAGGTGTTTGTGAACCTGCGCCTGCACATGTCGGGTGGAGCCCTGGGAGGCGAGTCTTTGATTGTACCTCTCTGACTCTCCCCAACCATTTTCCCCGCTCTCCCCCTCTTCCCCCCTCTCCCCCTTCCCGCCCACACCCGCCAACCCCTTCGTCCACCCCTGTGCGAGCAGGTGTTTGTGAACCTGCGCCTGCATGTATCGGGCGGAGCCCTGGGAGGTGGTCGCATGGTGGAGGATGCGTCCAGTGTGGCAGGTGAGTGGGGGGGAAAGGAAGATGTAGGTCAACCCTAGTGACACACATAGTGTGCCAGGCCCTTGCATGCACGCCACACCGCCCTTAGACTTTGCAAGCTTTCAGTGTGGCGGGTGAATGGGGGGGATGCGACCAGTGTGGCGGGTGAATGGGGGGGATGCGACCAGTGTGGCGGGTGAATGGGGGGGATGCGACCAGTGTGGCGGGTGAATGGGGGGGATGCGACCAGTGTGGCGGGGAATGGGGGGGATGCGACCAGCTCCAGCTGTGGCAAAGGCTACCTGCCATCAGCTCGTGCAACCGTGGAATGATTGTACCCAGCAGGGGAGGTGTGCGTCTGATGACTGTGCGGTGGCAGCCAACGGCTTATGCTACCGCTAACCTTTCGCTCATACGCCTTCATTCCTTCATCTGTCCTCGTCCCCACGTGTCCCTCTCCCCTCCGCCCTCCCTCACCCACTGCAGTGTTGGACACGGCAGCGGGCGTGTGGTGCGACCGCAAGGGCACGGTGGCCGTAGCGAGGACGGGGCGCTTCAGTGCGGACGCGCCTGGGGGCGACGCCAGCACCGAGCTCACCCGCCGCTGCCGCCATGCTGCTGCTGCCGTCGCCAACTCCATCTTCATCTACGGGGGGCTCCGGGGCGGTGAGTAGGAGGGAGGGAAGAGGGGGAATGTTTGCAGGGCTGGAATGAATGGGGGGGGAGATTGTTGAAAAGCTGGAGTGAGTGGGGGGGGGGGGGGGGGGGTGTAGGAGAGGTGGAGTGAGTGGAGGGGGGTGTGTAGGAGGGGTGGAGTGAGTGGGGAGGGGGTGTGTAGGAGGGGTGGAGTGAGTGGGGAGGGGGTGTGTAGGAGGGATGGAGTGAGTGGGGGGGGTTGTAGGAGGGGTGGAGTGAGTGGGGAGGGGGTGTGTAGGAGGGGTGGAGTGAGTGGGGAGGGAGTGTGTAAGAGGGATGGAGTGAGTCGGGGGGGGTTGTAGGAGGGGTGGAGTGAGTGGGGAGGGGGTGTGTAGGAGGGATGGAGTGAGTGGGGGGGGGTTGTAGGAGGGGTGGAGTGAGTGGGGAGGGGGTGTGTAGGAGGGATGGAGTGAGTGGGGGGGGGTTGTAGGAGGGGTGGAGTGAGTGGGGAGGGGGTGTGTAGGAGGGATGGAGTGAGTGGGGGGGGGTTGTAGGAGGGGTGGAGTGAGTGGGGCAGAGCATCTTTGGAGGACTGTATGGTCCGCTGCTCAAACCAGAACTGTATGGTCACTCGTCTCGTCTCCCCCTGCTCACCACTCACCCCCCTCCTTCCCAACACACACCAGGCATTCTCCTGGACGATCTGCTGATCGCCGACGACTCGCCACCGGAGCCGCCGCCACTGCCTTTCGCACTCTTTCGCCCACACCCCTGCCATTCATGCCCCCCCCCCACTCATATCCGCACTCACCACTCATCTCTCCCCCCATTCACACACACACCAGGCATTCTCCTGGACGATCTGCTGATCGCCGACGACTCGCCACCGGAGCCGCCACCACTGCCTGCCCCGTCCGCCAAGGCGGAGGGCGTGGGCAACCGCAGGCCGCCCGTGGCCCCCCGCAAGGGGGCGCGCGGGGACGCTGCTGCTGCCGCCGCCGCTGGCAGGTAGGCTGACGGTGGGGCGCATGCTCGCGACCACCTCACCAGGTGCGTGGTGGGGCTGGCTGGCTTTTGTGGGGCTGGCTGGAATTGAGAGGCACGTTAGGTGAGTCATAAAGATAGTGTGACGGCGGGACAGCGCATGCTTGAGGCCACTTGACCAGGTGTGTGATGGGGCTTTGCTGGAATTAAGAGACATGTTCGTGTGAGATCACTGGGTGATAGTCCATCTATTATCTTATAGGTGGATTCTGAAGTGATGGATTGATGGAGGGCCAGCGCCGTCTCAAACGGAGCACGAGATTACCAACAGGTGTGTGGTGGGGTGTGGTTCACTGGAATCGGGAGGTGTTAGGGGGTGCTTACTCGATAGATTATACCACCGCACTGGGAGGCACATGAGAGGGAATGGAAGGCAGATTCGTTCCGTGCTTCGGTGCTGTCTCCCATCTCTAAGCCCTTGCTCCATCCCCTCGTCTGCTTCCTATTCCCCCGCTTTCCCATGTTCGCCCCCACGTTCCCCCGACAATTCCATCCCCCCACGACACCCCCAGTGGTGAGGAGGGCGCGAATGGCCTTATCTTCAAGGGCAGGGGGGGCGTGCCAGGGAGGGGCGTTTTTGGAGTCAACTCAAAGGCTCCCCCCATGTTTTCCCCCACATTTCCCCCCACAACTCCCCCGCCCCCCTTCGCCCTATCCCCCCCAGTGGTGAGGAGGGCACGGATGGGCTTTCTTTCAACGGCAGGGGAGCGAGCCAGGGAGGGGCGCTTTTTGAGTCAACTCAAAGGTTCCCCCCATGTTTTCCCCCACATTCCCCCCCACAACTTCCCCCCCCCTCTCCCCTCCTTCGCCCGACCCCCCCAGTGGTGAGGAGGGCGCGGAAGGGCTGTCCTTCAACGGCAGGGGGGGCGTGCCAGGGAGGGGCGGGGCGGGGGGCAGCGACGAGGAGGAGGAGGAGGAAGAAGAGGAGGGGGATGCGGACGACAGCAGCAGTAACGGCCTTCACCCCAGCACGTCCAGCCTCACCAGTCACAGTGACGATGGGAGAAGTGACACTCCCGACTTCAAGGGCGGCGTGCGCCTGCATCACCGCGCTGTGAGTGCTGCCCGCCAGGCCCCGCTAGCCCTCTAGGCTATCCTTTCCCCCCATTTGCATCTATCCCAGCACGTCCAGCCTCACCAGTCACAGCGATGACGGCAGGAGTGACACCCCGGACTTCAAGGCCAGCGTGCGCCTGCACCACCGCGCTGTGACCCCCGCCTGCCAGCCCGATACTCTATCCTTTCTCCCCCCCCCCCTCCTCCACCCCAACCCCTTCCATCCCCCCCATTTCCCCGCGTTCCCCTTCCAATGCAACCTTTCCCCCTCACCCCGTCTCCACTTTCCCAACCCCATTCCCGCATCATCACCAGCACGCGCCCCTTTCCCCTGTCTGCTTAGCTGTGCTTCCTTTCCCCTGTCTGCTTAGCTGTGCTTCCTTTCCCCTGTCTGCTTAGCTGTGCTTCCTTTCCTCTGTCCTCGCAGTTTTCCTTTCCATTGGTGTGTAAACGTTTGTCTCTTTCCCTTTCCGCCTCCCTTTCCACCTCCCCATCCCCCACTCCTTCCCTCTCCCCTTGACCTCCCCCTCCCTCTCGTCTTCTCCTGTTTTAAACCCCTTTCCTGTGTACTGCCCTCTATTCTCCATCCGTTAGGCAACGTTTGTCCCTCTCCCAATCCCTCTCTGCTTGACGAACCCCTTACTCTTCTCTTGTCCCTCTCTCCCTCCTTCCCCCAGGTGGTGGTCTCGGCGGATCCAGGCGGCAACAGTCTGGGCGGGCTGGTGAGGCAGCTGTCCATCGAGCACTTTGAGAATGAGGGCCGCCGCATCAGCTACAGCCCCGATGGCGTGCAGGCACACCGGCGCCTGCTGGACAGGCAGATGTCCATCCAGGGCGTGCATAAGAAGGTGTGTGTGGGGGGAGAGAGAGAGGGTGAGGGGGAGAGGGGGAGGGGGGGGTAGAGTAGGCAGGAGGCTGCTGGCGCATCAGCTACAGCCCCGACGGCGTGCAGGCGCACCGGCGCCTGCTGGACCGCCAGATGTCCATCCAGGGCGTGCATAAGGTGGGGGTGGGGTGAGAGAGGGAGGGGGAGGGGGGGGGGGGGTAGAGTAGGCAGGAGGCTGCGGCCGCACAGGCTTTCGGGCACACAGGCGTGCAGGAGCACAGGCGCCTGCTGGAGTGGATCGCCAGATGTCCATCCAGGGTGTGCACAAGAAGGTGGGAAGCAGGCCAGGGGAAAAGGGTGGTGAGACAGGGGTGCAGGGGGGGGGAGGAAAAAAATGGTATACAGGGGTGGGTATTTGCACATTATGACGTTCACTCGCGAACATGAGATGTCCAATCAAATCGTTCACTCACATACACACACACACACCAAGTGCTCCACTTACCCCCCTCCCCCCTTCCGTCCCCTGGCTGGCTGGCAGGTGCTGCAAACGCTGTTGAAGCCGAGGGGGTGGAAGCCTCCGGTGAGTCGGCAGTTCTTCCTGGACGTGCACGGCGTCGTGGAGCTCTGCGACCTCGCTGAGACACACTTCAAGAACGAGCCCTCCGTGCTGCAGGTGAGAGAATGAGAGCAGTTTAGAGGTGGGGGTGCGATGGTGAGTTGGACGGGCATGGGAGTGAGTGCACCCTCTGTCGTGGAGCTCTGCGGCCTTGCTGAGACGCACTTCAAAAATGAGCTCGCCGATCCTGTTGCTTCTTGCGTTGCTCCTTGCGTTGCCCCCTTGCCTTGTCCCGTTTCTAATGCTATTGCATATGGCCTCTCTCACCTCCCCCGCGTGTGTGCTTCCACCAGGTACGGGCGCCGGTGAAGATCTTTGGCGACCTGCACGGGCAGTTTGGCGATCTCATGCGTCTCTTTGACGAGTATGGCTCGCCCTCCACCGCCGGCGACATCGCGTGAGTGCCCCTCTGCCTTGCCCTCTTTCCTCCGTCTCAACAAAGTGACACTCTGCTGTCCGCACTTCAATTCCTCACTGGCCTTGTCTCATTGGCTCTTCTGTCTCCCTACTCACTGTCTTCCCCCCCCCCCATCCCTCCACTCCACTCCACCAGGTACGTAAACTACCTGTTCCTGGGCAACTATGTGGAACACGGCTAGCACTGTAATTTTTTCTCCGCACACCCCTCACTTGCCCCATCTTCCCTTGTTCCTCCATTCCCCTCCTCCCCCACCCCATCCCCCCACCAGCTACATCGACTACCTTTTCCTGGGTGATTACGTGGATAGGGGGCAGCACAGTGCCTCCGCTCTCGGCTGTTCACTCCCTCACTGCCCTTATCTCCTTTGCGCGCCTGTCTCTGCCTTCCCCCATCCCCCCCCCACCAGGTACATAGACTACCTGTTCCTGAGGCGACTATGTGGACAGGGGGCAGCACAGCGCCGTGCCTCTGCCTTCCTCGTTTCACTCCCCCGTTCCCCTCTCCCCACCCACCCCATCCCCCCCACCCCCCCACCAGGTACATAGACTACCTGTTCCTGGGCGACTATGTGGACAGGGGGCAGCACAGCCTGGAGACAATCATTCTGCTGCTCGCACTCAAGGTGATGCGCGGAACACCCACCGCTGCGTGCATGGATGGGGGATGGCTGCCATGGCATGGATGGGGGATGGCTGCCATGGCATGGATGGGGGATGGCTGCCATGGCATGGATGGGGGATGGCTGCCATGGCATGGATGGGGGATGGCTGCCATGGCATGGATGGGGGATGGCTGCCATGGCATGGATGGGGGATGGCTGCCATGGCATGGATGGGGGATGGCTGCCATGGCATGGATGGGGGATGGCTGCCATGGCATGGATGGGGGATGGCTGCCATGGCATGGATGGGGGATGGCTGCCATGGCATGGATGGGGGATGGCTGCCATGGCATGGATGGGGGATGGCTGCCATGGCATGGATGGGGGATGGCTGCCATGGCATGGATGGGGGATGGCTGCCATGGCATGCATGGGGGATGGCTGCCATGGCATGGATGGGGGATGGCTGCCATGGCATGGATGGGGGATGGCTGCCATGGCATGGATGGGGGATGGCTGCCATGGCATGGATCGGGGATGGCTGCCATGGCATGCATGGGGGATGGGTGTATGCATGGGAAACGGTGTGCACAGATGTAGGTTTTCAATTTTGTACTGCCTCCCGCATTTATCCCCCCGTTTCTTCAAGTATTACATCCTGCATTTTGTCACCATTCCCTCTCAACTCCCTCTACGTCCTCGACCTTGGCTCCGTCCCCAATCAAGTATACCACATCCTCTCTCAGACCGGCAACGTGCATCTCATTCTTGTACACTGCATTGTCTCCCCCCTCACGCTTCCCTTTCTTCCCCTCCCTCGCCTCCACCCAGATTGAGTTCCCGCGCAACGTGCATCTGATTCGAGGCAACCACGAGGCGGCAGACATCAATGCTCTCTTTGGCTTCCGAATGGAGTGCATCGAACGCATGGTGAGTGGTGCAGTGCGGTTCAGTGAGATTCTAGTGCATGGTGGGTGCATGCAATGTGCATCTGATTCGAGGCAACCACGAGGCGGCAGACATCAATGCTCTCTTTGGCTTCCGAATGGAGTGCATCGAACGCATGGTGAGTGGTGCAGTGCGGTTCAGTGAGATTCTAGTGCATGGTGGGTGCATGCAATGTGCATCTGATTCGAGGCAACCACGAGGCGGCAGACATCAATGCTCTCTTTGGCTTCCGAATGGAGTGCATCGAACGCATGGTGGGTGGTGCAGTTCGGTTCAGTGAGACTCACTCTTTCCCATGGCTGCAGTAATCTTGCAGTCAACCATCCCATCGCGCGATGCGGCACCATGCCTGCGTCTATTTTTGGGGCGCCTAAAAAATTGGCACGGTTCCGGCGCGCCGCGCATCCATCCCAAAAGCGTGCAATGGTTGCCTGCACTTGCTTACCAGCCACATTCTTTCTCATTCCTTGGATTCCGCACCTCTTCCTGTATCCGCCCCTCACCCCCCCTCCCCCCCTCACATCACACCATACCACCTGGAATGAAACAACTCCTGCAGGGCGAGGAGGGCGGCATATGGGCGTGGCACCGCATCAACCAGCTGTTCAACTGGCTGCCGCTAGCTGCCCTGATAGAGCACAAGATCCTGTGCATGCATGGGGGCATAGGGCGCTCCATCCAGCACGTGTCGCAGATAGAGGAGCTCAAGCGCCCCATCACCATGGAGGCGGGATCAATGGTGCTCATGGACCTTCTCTGGTGAGTGTTCGTGGGCCTACAAACGTGTATACTCACTCTCTCCCCCACACACATATCCCACACACACTAATACTCGCTTACTCACACACACACACACTCTCACCTCCACACACGATAACCCTCACTCATTCCAACACACTCATGCTCCCACGCCCGCACGTGCAGGTCGGATCCCACGGAGAACGACAGCATAGAGGGCTTGCAACCCAACGCACCCATACTCACTTCCACACACACATACTCCTACACACACCAATCTTCTCTCACTCTCACACACATATACTCTCAATCTCTGCCTGGCAGGTCGGATCCCACGGAGAACGACAGCATAGAGGGCTTGCAACCCAACGCCAGAGGACCAGGCCTCGTCACCTTCGGAGTGAGCCCCTCTGCATCTCTGCCTTCCTTTCCTCCTCTTCCTCTCTCTCACTTCTTCGCTCCTGCGCTCTCCTTTTCGCTCTCCCCCTCTCGCCCTCCCCCTCTCTGCCCCGATCCCCTGTCTCACTTGCACTCCTCCCATCCTCTCGTCACTCCGCCCGCTTTCCCCTCCGATGCTCTCCTTTCCTCACACTCCTCGCCCTCAAGTTCCCTGTCTCATGCCTTCTACGTCCCGGCCCCCTCCCTCTTAGCAGCAGCCCTCCCTTCTTCTCCTTTCGTCCTCTCTCTCCTCCTCTCCTTCGCTCACCTCCCCTCCCATCTCCCTTCTCTTCCCCTCACCCTCACAGCCCGACAGGGTGATGGAGTTCTGTCACACCAACGACCTGCAGCTCATCAATCCACATGCATCAATCCACATGCATCAATCCACATGCATCAATCCACATGCATCAATCCACATGCATCAATCCACATGCATCAATCCACATGCATCAATCCACATGCATCAATCCACATGCATCAATCCACATGCATCAATCCACATGCATCAATCCAAAGCCCCCCCTCTCCCACCCCCTCCCCACACCCCCCTGACCTCCCTCTCCCCTCTCTTTCCCCTCTCTTCCCCCCACAGCCCGACAGGGTGATGGAGTTCTGCCACACCAACGACCTGCAGCTCATCATCCGCGCGCACGAGTGTGTCATGGATGGCTTTGAACGCTTCGCAGGAGGGCACCTCATCACTCTCTTCTCCGCCACCAACTACTGCGGTCAGTGGCGCTGGGGTGGTGCTGGGGCGAGCTTTGCCGGTCTGTTGTTGCAATGGTAGGCGCGCTTTGCTTCGCGGGGGGGCACCTCATCACGCTCTTCTCCGCCACTAACTACTGCGGTCAGTGCTGCTGCTGTGTTGAGTGTAATAAGGGATAGCTATCATAGTCGCAAGAGCAGGTCTGTTGTTGCGAATCGTAAGCGCTCTTTGCTTCGCAGGGGGGCACCTCATCATGCTCTTCTCCGCCACCAACTACTGCGGTCAGTGGCGCTGGGGTGAATGGTGCTGCGGGTGGTGCTGCGGGTGGTGCTGCTGTGCTGCTGTGGTGAGTGGTGCTGCCTGCCTGTCATGGTTGCACGAACAGGTTTCTTCAGCCTTAAGGCACCTCATCACAGCAGAGGGCCACCTCGGCGCCCTCTTCTCCGCTACCAACTACTTACTGCGGTCAGTGCTGCTGCTGTGGTGAGCGTGTGCTGGCTCTTACAGTTGCAATAGCTGGTCTGTTGTTGCTATAGGGAGCGCACTTTGCTTCGCAGGGGGCCACCTCATCATGCTCTTCTCCGCCACCAACTACTGTGGTCAGTGCTACCCCCCTTGCAGCCCAGTTATCATATTCTTGTTCTCTCTTTCAACCCTCATGGTTCTCTCGTTCTAAAACACAGCGGGATAATCAATTATGGACCTGGCCCTCCTCCCTTCTCTCCGATTATCACCTGGCATGGACTTGGCAGGCACGGCCAACAATGCAGGGGCCATTCTGGTGCTGGGGAGGAACCTCGTGGTCTTCCCCAAGATGATCCACCCGCTGCCATTTGGGAATCACTTTCGAGAATTCTCTAAACTGTTTTGTTCTCTCTTCTCTCCTCCCTTATGCTCCCTGTCGACTGGAGCAGGCACGGCCAACAACGCAGGCGCCATCCTGGTGTTGGGGAGGGACCTGGTGGTTTTCCCAAAGATGATCCACCCGCTCCCGCCCACTGGCAACCCCGCCAACTCGTCTGATGACCAGGATGACACGTGGATGGCGGTGAGTGTCCTGTGCTTCTAACATGTAACCACCCTCACCCCTGGGATTCCCCTCCCAACCATGCGCTTCCTTTCTAGGACTCTGCCCAACTTGATTCCTCCTTTTGTCATGCTCAACTGCTACGTTTATCCCATGTCTCAAACCGTGCCCGCTCGTGCTGTTTACACTACGAGCTTTCCTTCTAAAGCGGTAACCTTCCTCTTCCTCCTCTCCCTCCCTTTTCTCCCCCTTCTCCCCCCTTCTTCTCCCCTCTTCTCCCCCCTTCTCCCCCCTTCTCCCCCCTTCTTCCCCCCGCTTCTCCCCTCTTCTCCCCCCCTTCTCCCCTCCCCTTCCCCACATCACCCCATCCCTCCCTGTCGGCTATGTGATGCCACCAGGAGCTCAACTTGCAACGGCCACCCACGCCCACAAGGGGCCGCCCGCAACCAGGCAACGACCGCAACTCCCTCGCCTTTATCTAGCCCCTCCCAACCTGCCAGCCTGTGTCTTGCCCACACTCTTTCCTGTAGGCTTTTCCCTCCTCTCAGCCCATTCTCTATCCTCTATGAAGCTGATTCTGTCCACCCCATAGGTCCATTTCGACAGCATGCTTTCAGCTGCAATCGGATAGTTCTAGTTCTACAGTGCAGAAATGCATCAGAGTATCATACAAGATATGGCTATGCCACGCACAGCCTATACTGGCATGCATGCATCCATTCACTCCTACACGCCTTTGCATGTAGCATCTCTCGTGGCACCTACTGCCATCACCGGCACTGACGCATCTAGCATCGTGACATGAGCAGTTGCAGGCTTGCGCTGCCATCACCAGCACTGGTGCATTTGTCCAGTCGTCCGCCCCCCAACCCCCTTTCTCTCCTCCCTTCCTCCTTTTCTTAACCCTGCATTTTCCCGCCCGCCCACACAGCCACCTTGAAAGCTGACCGTGCCTCCCGGCCTTAGCCTTGCTGCTGGATTGCGTAACACATTGCCCCTTGCTTTGCCTCGTGTAAAATGCTTCATTTATTGCACCACCATGCTGCTGCCACAGCACAGTGCTTTTGTAGGCTACTGTGTTTGAGCCAAGTGTACTACTTGCCAGTCCTCTTCCTGTTCTCCAATTCACTCCGGCCCTCCGGGTCAAATTGATTAGTGTATAGCCACACCCAGAAAAGGCCTTGCTTCAGTACCACAATCCTTTGCGCTGGGCATTTTCATTCCAATCATAAGCTGACAAATCTCAGCTTTTCTAGTCTCCCAGATGATACATAAAACAGTTGGGTATCAGTCAGACATGGATTGGAGCAGCGTGCAGTGATGTGTCAAATGTTAATGTTATGATAGGCTGCAGTGAGGCACTCCCTAGAGGGTACAACATTTGTAGGACTCCTATTTGTATGCTTGCAAACCCTAATCCCAATCATTCCGTTGCATGTAGATTCTGACATGGTATCACGAGTAGGTATCGATCCTCCCTCCCCGCCCTAGCCGGCGCGCCCTCCGTTCCGCGCCCTCGCGCCCTCCGTAGCGCCTAGCGCCCTCCGCGCCCTCCGTCGCGCCCTCGCGCCCTCCGTAGCGCCTAGCGCCCTCCGCGCCCTCCGTCGCGCCTAGCGCCCTCCGCGCCCTCCGCGCTCCTAGCGCCCTCGCGCCCCTTAGCGCGGCCCTCAGCCCGCCCCACGTCGCGCCCCTTAGTGCGCCCCTCGGCCCGCCCCTCCGTGCCCTCCGCGCCCTCCGCACGTTCGTGCCCTCCGCGCCCTCCGCACGTTAGTACCCTCCGCGCCCTCCACGCCCTCCCCCTGCCCGTCGCGCCCTCCCCCCTGACCGTCGCGCCCTCCCCCTGCCCGTCGCGCCCTCCCCCTGCCCGTCGCGCCCTCCCCCTCCCCGTCGCGTCGCCACCCCTCCCCTTCCCCTCCCCGTCGCGTCGCCTCCCCTCCTCCTGCCCGTCGCGTTCGCCTCCCCTCCTCCTGCCCGTCGCGTCGCCTCCCGTCCCCCTGCCCGTCGCGTCGCCTCCCCTCCTCCTGCCCGTCGCGTTCGCCTCCCGTCCCCCTGCCCGTCGCGTCGCCTCCCGTCCCCCTGCCCGTCGCGTCGCCTCCCCTCCTCCTGCCCGTCGCGTTCGCCTCCCCTTCCCCTGCCCGTCGCGTCGCCTCCCTTCCCCCTGCCCGTCGCGTCGCCCTCCCCTCCCAATCCCGTCGCCCTCCCTTGCCCGTCGCGTCAACCTCCCCTCCCCGCCCATTTCCCACCGACAGATCCTCCTCCCGCCCATTTTCACCGTCGCATTCGGCCTCCCCGCCCCCCTCTCACTGTTCATCACCTTAGCCCCACCACCGCCTTGTGCGCGGGGCCCTCCCCAGCTCTGCTGACACTGGTCTATCCCTCAGCGGCTGGCAACCGCTCTCTCTCGCCGGTCACCTAGGTTAGAGCCGTTTTAGCCGCTCATACCTCGCTCCTCGCACCTGTAGCTGGCGATCCACGATTTCACGCCTAGTCTAGGTCGCTCGGTACTCCTAGTCTCTCGCTCCGCCGCTTTCTCTCCTAGCGCTCCGTAGTTTTCCTCCTCGTTCTTAGCTCCGCCTCCGCCGTGCTCCAGCCGCCTCTAGCATGGGCTCCGCTATGGAGGCCCGTCGCCTCCGTTTCGATGCGGAGGGACGCCCAATCGAGTTCGGTACCTGGCAGCGCCAGACCACACGCTTCCTCACCAGCCAGCGACAGGACGGCGCCACTCTGTGGGCTCACGCGTCTGGTGCCCTACAGGCCCCCCCGTCCCCCGTCGCCCTGCCGACCACCCCGGAGCCGACCCCTACGGCACAGGCGGACTACGACCGTCGGGTCCTGGCCAGGGACGTGTGGCTCTCGCGTGACGCAGCCGCCGCTCTCACTCTATCGGAGCTTCTCCCCCCGACTGAGGCCGCCCACTTTGACCAGGTGGAGACTGCACAGGGAGTTTGGGAGGCTATTGTTGCTCGCTACTCCACCCCCTCCTCTGCCTCCCTCAGTCGCCTCCTCATGCCGTTTGTGTTTCCCGACCTAGGCTCGTTTGCGACTGTTTCCGACCTAGTGACTCACCTCCGCTCGCTTGACGCCGATTTCCGCGCTGCCTGTACCGACGCACAGCTTCTAGTTGCTCCCCCCCCCATGTGGCTCACTGTTCACTGGTTAGTCACCCGCCTCCCTGACCGCCTTGCCACTGCCCGCGACGCGCTTCTTCAGAAGCACCCCACTGAGCTCACTATCGACCTCCTAGCGACTGCTCTAGGGACCATCGAGAGCAGTCTCCTCACCGTTGCCTCCGCCACTGATGCGGTGGCCCCCCGTCTCTTTGCGGGGTGTGCCGCCCCTCAGCTTCCCACTTTCACCGCTACCTGCGCCTCTGCTGCTGTGTCGGTCTCTGAGGACACTGCTGCCGTTTCTGCCGCAGACTGGCAGAAACGGGGCAAGAGCGGCAAGAAGGGCGGGAAGGGGGGGGGTGGGGGCGGAGGCGGCGGCGGTGGAGGGGGCGGTGGAGGAGGCGGTGGAGGTGGGAGCGGCGGGGGTGGAGGTGGCAGCGGCGGCGGTGGTGCACCGGGAGGAGGGGGCCCTGGACCGGGCGCCGGACAGCCGGGCCCTCCCACTGGTGGAGGCCCACAGCAGCAGCAGCCACAGCGGTACCGACAGCAGCACCCGCCACAGCAGGGACAGCAGCAGCAGCAGGCACCCCAACAGTGGGGGGCCCCGCTGCAGTGGGGTCCGCAGCAGCACTGGGGTCCCCCGCCGCAGTGGGGTCCGGGCGGCCCTGGGAGCACCAGCCGCAGCAGCAGTACTTCCAGCTGGGCCCCTCGCCCCCCTCGCCGTGACGCTGGCCCGTGCACCCACTGGTGCGTCACCGGGCCGGGGAGCCCCTGTCTCTGTGGTCGCGACGACCACTCTGCCGCGCGGTGCTTCCGCCGCCTCGACGACCTCTACCGAGCTCGTTGGGGCCCTCTGGCGGTCACGCCTCGCTGGTCTCGTCTGTTAGCCCGTAAGATTGATGTCTTTGATTTGTCCATGGACGATGCGCGTCAGCATGCTTTGTATGTTGATGCTGACTTTAGTGCTGATGGATCTGTGTGCTCGCGTGTTCGTAGGTTAGCCTGCTTGCCTCCTGCTAGTGTAGCCTTGTGCCTGTCTAGCTTAGGTGCTTGTGTTGCTGCTCTAGGTGCTTGTGTAGCGACTGGGTCAGGTGACCCGCCGGCTGAGGCCTCTCTGTCGTTCACGCTGGACTCGGGCGCGTCTCAGTGCTTCTTCCGCGACCACACGACCCTTACACCACTCCTCACACCTGTGTCGGTGGCTCTGGCTGATCCTACCTCTGGACCAGCCGTTGCGCGTAGCTCCACCACCCTCCCGTGCCCTGTGGTCCCCTCTGGTGTCCTGCACGGCCTCCACATCCCCTCGTTCACTCGGAACTTGGTGGGTGTTGGATACCTCCAGGACAGGGGGATCACGGTTACCTTCGTGGGGGGTGGGCGGACTGCAGTCTGTACAGACGCTACCACAGGTGCTGTTCTGGCCACGTTCACCAGGGAGCCCCGCTCCGGTCTCTACGTTCTCCACACCGAGCGCTCCCCGGTCGCGTCCTCCCCTCAGGTCCTTGCGTCCCCTCCAGCCCAGGTCCCCAGTACAGTTGCTGTGTCTAGCCAGGTAGTAGTGTCCGGTCCGGTCGCTGTGCCCACTCCAGTCGCGGCGTCTTGCTCCTGTCGCTCTCTCACCCACCGCACCGTCCTGTGGCACCACCGCCTTGGCCACCCGTCGCTCCCTCGCCTACGTGGCATGCTCAGTCAGGGACTTGTCTCAGGTCTCCCACGCACCTTCCCGTCGCTCCCTCTCTCGCTTGCCCCTCCTTGCTCTCCGTGCGTCGCCGGTCGCTTACGCGCCACTCCCCACTCCTCCTCCCTTCATCCGGCCACCGCTCCCTTCGAGACTCTCCACTTGGACGTCTGGGGCCCTGCCCCGACGCAGGGGTCTGGGAGGGAGCGTTACTTTCTGGTGGTCGTTGACGACTTCTCCAGGTACACCACAGTGTTCCCTCTTGCGAAGAAGTCCGAGGTGACTGCTACGCTGATCAGGTGGCTTCTAGCCACTGAGGGCACTCGTGGTCGTCGAGTCAGTTGTCTCCACTCCGACCGTGGGGGCGAGTTTCGCTCCGGCATTCTCGGCGGATTCTGCGGCGAACAGGGCATCACCCAGTCCTGGACGCTGCCAGAGTCCCCACAGCAAAATGGGGTTGCTGAGCGCCGCATAGGCTTGGTCATGGACATCGCCCGCACGTCCATGATCCATGCCCGTGCGCCCCATTTTCTGTGGCCCCACGCGGTTCGCTACGCCGCACACCAGCTGAACCTCCAGCCGCGTGTCTCGCGGCCCGAGGTTTCACCGACCAGTCTTTGGACTGGTTCCCCTGGTGTCGGGTCGGCCTTTCGAGTCTGGGGCTGCCTTGCACTTGTTCGCGACACCTCCGCGGACAAGCTCTCGGCACGCGCCGTCCCCTGTGTCTTCCTTGGTTTCCCAGTGGACTCTGCCGACTGGTCCTTTTACCACCCTCCCCTCCACCACTTCCTAGACTCCCGTGACGTCCGGTTTGACGAGTCCGTGTCCTACTACACCCGGTACCCCTGTCGAGGTCTCCTGGTACCCCCTCCCCCTCTTTTCCTCGCACCCTCTCCTCCTCCTGCTCCCGCTCCTCCGGCACCCCCGCCCCCCCCTGGTCCTGCCCCGTCTGGTGTGTCCCACGTTACCCCTCTACCCTCGGTCGCGCGTCAGGTAGCGTCTCCCTCCCCACAGTCCTCCTCACAGTCCCCTCAGCAGCCTTCGGCACTTCCGCGACAGGTTACTGTGGACTCGGTTGGTGTTGGGGCTGGAGGTGCAGCCACTGGCGGTGCTAGGTCTGGGGGCACTCGGTCGCGGGGTGCTGGAGCTGGAGGTGCTGGCGCAGGTGGCGCTAGCTCTGG